GGTGATGCTGTGAAACGCTTTCTTCACCACACTTGTATTTAAGACAATACTGTACAGTACACAAAGTGTGTGTGTGTGTATGGTGTTTGCCGCCCGCTCACGCACACAAAAACGGCTACGACTAGTCCTACAACCAAAACTATCCTCATACTAGCTCCAGACTACTCTCCTGCTATATATACAACCTCTACAGTACTACTATCCCACCTACTACCACTACTACTGCTACTATCTTACAATCACTACATCCTCCATTTCATCTACTACTACTGTACTATTCTTCTACCAGCCCAGCATTCACCATCACATTTTAAGGAATAAATCCATCCCCACCCATCAGCCCTCCTTCCCACCTACCAGTCCTCGTTTCCACTCACTAGCCTCATTCCCACCTATCAGCCCTCATTCCCACCCACCAGCCCTCATTCCCACCTATCAGCCCTCATTCCCACCCACCATCTCCAACCACTAGCCCCATTCCCACCCATCAGCTCCCATTCCTACTCACTGAGCCAACCAGCCTCACTCCCACATCCAACATGAGTCTGGAGAGGTTGGGTCCATCGTCGCGGTATGTGGACTACACACAGCCAGGGCCCAGCGGCTACCAGGCACCCTCCGTCAGCAGCTATGAGTACGCTCCTGAGAGGCCGCCCAGGAGGGAGCGGAGTAGGTCCAGGGACAGGGATTCTTCCTCCAGGAATGGCTACGCAAGCAGGGAGGTAAGATACACATTCCACCACTACCACCATATTGAAAAATTCCCCTCAACCTGGCAATTCACAATTGCTCAGTCAGTCAGTTTATTCAGTCAATATATCCACTGGTTGCTTGTCCAGGTGATATCTCAAGCACTTTTTGGGCAAGGACACAATACTGACCAAGTTGATCAATTAATAAGTCATTCAATCAATCAATCAGTCTGTCAGTTGATCGGTAAACCAGATACTCAATCAGCCACCACAATAATGATTAAAAAAACTAATGAGCAGCAACGACTCTATACCAGCTGAGTAAAGCATAATTCAATGCCGTGTGGTGATTTAAAGTGTCAACACCACCAGCATAATAAATTCACCCCCTTGTATATAAAAAGAGAGAGAGAGAGAGAGAGAAAGAGAGAGTTGTGAATTCTAAGAACTTTGTGATATTGTACAAGATTCCTATTGTACACCTACACAATTTGGATGAAATAATACTCCCTTATTCCTTTGATAAATTCACACAATCACAGAATTTTTGTCTTAACATACGACACTGGGATGTACAGGGTGTGCTAAGAATGTGTTTTGCATCATCACGAGTCTATGGTCTGTTTGTTTGTAGATATGAATCTTAAAGTCAGTTTTAAATTAACTTTTTAAAATTTTATGAAACAGGGATGTTCTAGGTTAATCTCTCAGATGAATTAGCATTTTAACAGTCTGAGATCATCTGTGACCTTTCTAGAGTGGTCACATCGCTGAGAATGTCACGGTCATTTTGAGACAAACTCTGTGTGTACATACATGTAATTTAACATTAATTTTTATATTACTTATTGTTTCAAACACTCATAGTGGTATGGTATGAGCTAAGGAGCTAAGGTATGAATGGAAAGCACAAGCTGTCTCACCCTGTGGCAAGGCGAGGATCGTTACCAGCCATCAGAAGGTGTGTAGCTCACACACCCCGCCGAGAACATTGTTATTAGAGGCAGCGACCTTGTGAAAGTGATGTAAAATATAGTGCTGCTGTTACACAGGTTGGGTAACACTTGCAATCATTCAAAGTGAGGATGCAATATTTTCTGTTACGTCTTCGTTCAGTGTTATAGACGAATTATGTAACCCTGATGGTGATGGAAGGAGAAAAATACAGATAAAGTACAGTACTGTACTGTACTAGTCAAAGATGTTAAAAGTTACAAAAAGGAGACATTAAATGGTAATATAGTCAGCAGTCAGTTAGTTATGTAAAAAAAAATAATACGAAGAAATACTGTAGTAGATGAAGTTGCCATATTTTTTTAAATCATCGAGTAAAAAAAATCAGTATGGGTAAGGTACTAAGATAACTGAGAGCACTATCCATGTGGTTTCTTATATATGGCACTGAGATGTCCCTGTGGCATAGACTGAAGATGCTATATATGAAGTAGTATGAGTTGAACAGTTGGCAGATAATTTTATTGCTTTGGTGAGAACAATAATGGTAAAATAGTACAGTACTATAATAATGATAGTGATAATAATATAAGCAAGAGCTTTGAAAATCAGTGCAATGAAATAACTGTTCAGATTCTCAAAGATTCGTCCATATGCTAAATTTTCCCCAAACATGAAATGTGGTTCACATAATCTGCAACACTTACATGACTGGCAGTACAGTAGTTGTGAGGGAAGGTCAACACATGTGGTATGCAGTAAGGGAACCTGTGGGAGAGAAAACAGAGGTATAAATATAAACAAATAAGTCCCTTTGGAATCTGTGTTCTAGTGTTTTATGACTCATTTACAGCAGTTTTAGAGTGAATGTATGGTAACTCAGGAGGTGCTGTACAGTAGGTAGAGTAGAAAAATTTCTTTGCCAAGATGGTGTTGTGTGTGCAACAGACTGAGGTCCATCCATTTGGCAGGTATACTATAACCCTGGCTTGGTGGTGGAGCGCGCACCAAGTGATCGGGCAGAGAGTGAATTCACTGTTAGGAATGAGGCGGTGATCAACCCACAGCTGGAGGAGGAACGGCGGGCAGCATCAAGGGCAGCATCAGAGATATACGCCTCCACAAGGATCCCCAGACCTCACTCCGAGATCAGGTGAGCAGCACAGAGCATACTACAGTAAACAAGCCAGAGGAAGCATAACTAAAGACCTGTTCCACTGATAAAAATGCATATTTCATATGACATCAAATTGGTGGAACAATCTGCCAGAGAGTGTGAGCTCTTTCAAGACCAGACATCTTGAACAAGTACTAGAGCAGGTTCAGATACATTCAGGAGCCAGTACATGCTCAGTACTTGTCAAGAGTGCATAACAGAGACGTGACTGATCGCCCAAGCGGCAAACAAGCCGATCAGTGGTAAAGAGTATTAAAAAAAGTAAGTGTATTGGAATTATCCAGTAGTTACTATCTTTATCTAATCATGTCCATGAACTGGACTAGATTTGGAGTTAAGACATTAAAAGCATTGTTCCAGAAATATCCACAACTATTTTTTAAGCTATCCTCGTCTTACTACACGTGCTTCTTATACCGTACACTTTTCTCTGCCTTGTGCTATTCATGCACTTTACGTGAAATTATCTTCTGATTATTAGGGCACTGGTTAAGAAACATCTTTACTTCTTAAAAGCCATCTCGCTCAATTTCTTTCTGTATCTGTAAATATCAACCTCTTTTCCTTCTAACCTTGTATCAACAGTTTAAAAAATTTCCCTTGTTTTGCAGTCAATATACATACCGGAGTGGTGGAGGCCATAGTGACAAGGTGAGCGTGAAAACCAAAACAACAAGAGGCGGGAAGTTGGTGATGGAAACAATGACAGCACCTCACCCCTGCTGCCCCAACACCAAGAGTGTCTGCTGCCTTATGGTCCTCCTCAACCTAGGCCTCCTCCTCATTACCCTTGGCTTTGTTGTTGTTCTTCAGCTCTACGATCCTGCCTTTGTCTGGTGCGTATGATATCATCACCCAGAGTGATCTATCCTATATACTGTACTGTGTCAATGTTCTAAGGTCACCTTACACCATGAACCACCCATTTCCTGTCTGTGAGTGTAGTGAGGTCCCCTAAATCCATGCAACTTCTATTCATCGCCAATGTGTTGTGATGTCAATAACTATAAATAAATGTGCATATTCTAGTTGTGGGAAATAACTCATAGCATATATATTTCATCTCAATATGTTCAGTTACACATTTGATATACAATATATTTTCTGAAAACTTTATTTAGTTGTGTTGATACTTAAGCTACAGTTATATACAAGTTCATTGAAAAAGAATCCCCAGGTTTTAATATACAGTACTGTACTGTACTGTGCTGTACTAGTATAACCATTTAAAATCTTGGCATTCTTTTTTGATGACCCTGTATATAAAGAATCCATTTAACTATATTAAACTTATACCCTAACAGGTACATCGGATTGTGTATGCTCATCTTTGGCTTCATGGTGCTCTTTGGCTCCCTCATCTACTGTGTGTTTGTGTGCCGGGAGATAGAGAAGAAGCGACCACCCCCCGGAGAGCTCTACTGGACCAACCACTGGACCAAGCAGCTCAACATGCCTGAGATACATTACACAAATACACAGTATAAGCCAGCAGATTACAAAGGGTCTGAGTTCTCCTTTAAGACTGAGCCAAGTAGAACAACAGCCACCAGCCAGAGGTACTGAGGTATCATGTATTATGTGAGACTTAGGCCTTGTGGATTGTGGCAGTGTTGATGCAATGTGAGAACACATTTAGTGATGAGACATTAGATAATGAGTTATTTTAGTCATTACATGTTATGAGGCATTTACACTTATCAAATGACCACTCCAGGTTGATGGGATAGTTTCCTTAGATCTGGCAGATATTAATACAAATTTAATGAAGCATTATTAGTACTCTATACTTGTGAAGAGATCAGAAATACTCATGTTTTATTCTCTCTGACACTGAAATAATTCCTCAAGAATAAGTCGACAAACTTTGGTGAAAACTGCATGGTTTACACGATAGAAGTAGCAAATATGTAAGATCTGTTTTTCATTCAATGGTTACAAAGCCTTCAGATATGCCCTGTCATTTACAAAGAGTATTTGCATTTTTGCATTTATGATAAGTGCAATACAGTTTGGGTGGATGCAAATATTGTATAGCAAGACCATCTATTGTCACTCATATAAGTTTGATGAGCTTGATGTATTTTTCCTCTGGGATAGACTTTAGAAGGACCTATACTGTATTTCCTTAATTAACAAAACAATTAAATTAAAAATAAAAGGAACAGGAGGGTGTTGCTTGTTGTAAAGTTAGTGTTTGAACTTGAAGAGGATAGCATGATCAACCTGAGCAAAAACTGAACAAGAAAATCACCCAACAGGCCATAATATTATTAGTTATGGCTGATGTGAGAAGTCAAACCATTTTTGTAAATCTATGTAAATAGACATTATTGAAAGAGCAACTGAATTCTAAATCTACCAGTTTGGCTACTCCTCGTATATAAGCAAAGGTAATATTTTTCTCGCAACTTAATGCATGTTGAGGAGAAGATCCCTTGAAGAAGAACTACTAGTCAGAAATGTTTGGATCTTTGAGTCGTGTATTATTCCAGTTACCGGGACTTTTGATGATAATCTTAAGTTAATAATATTATGGATTATAATAACAAGACATTTAATACTTTAAGTTCATTAAAAACTAATCTTGAAAACAGAACAGCAATTCTAATATTGATGCAGTTTATTATATCTCAACATAACAGTACTCTGCATTTTGTGCCATATTAAATGTGTGAGTCTAGCATTGGTTCCTTTTTCCTTTGCATTCCTGAGATTGTTAAAGTGTTAAACAGTGCTGGTGATCATAAGAAGTTTTCCAGATCAGTGATGCATTTAAATTAACTGTACTATTTGATGTATACCATATACATGTATTCTATAGTTGTTTATTACATTCTGTAATTTAAATTTACTGAGTGAAATTAATACTGTATACAGATAGACTGTGTTAGGTCTTAGAAATTGTGGCAAGCGTTTATATTACCACTACCGGTACATGTATCAGTAGACTTGACTCAATAAACTGGGTAAGGTAGTGATGTTGGAGAACACAAACATACAGTAATTGGAAGCCTAATGTATCACCAAACTCTTAATGTTGGTATTCCAAACAATTATTAACTTTTTGGTTGATATCCAATTTCTTCTTATTCTTTGTTCAGAATATTTCTCGCAACAGAAGATGTACAGCAAAGTACCTAACTGATTGCTTGTAAATAAGGCACTCACACGTCTAGAAATAGCATCAGTATTTTGCTGAGACTGTACCTTAGCTAGATAAGTTCAGTCAGCATCATTTAGAAGAAAAAAAAGTTAGGCACTGTGTAGACCTTTCCAAAGGTTCTCTATCTTAATGTTGTCTCCTAACTGGTGCTAACTCAACAAGTTTCAATTGCTTCATTCACTAGGCATATCTGAAATAAGTAACAATGAAAATTTTTCAAAATACAAAACTGTATTTGACTATTTTATCCATCGAATCACTCTTTTGTAAATTTACTATACAAAGAATGTGAGTTGTTCATTTTTTGATACTGCACTGCTACACTTTATACAGGTAATAATGAAAACATCAGAAAACAAGCACAGTGCATTTAAATAAATTTTTTTTTACATTTACTAAGCGAACTGGTAAATGGAGTCAGCATTAAAAATATGTGATTCATGACACTAGGAGCTGTTGTGGCAAAATCTGTTTTACAATCACAGCTCTGTAACCTACACCTGCAATATGTATACTACTGTCATGATTTTTATTGTCATCTAATGAGAGTCCAACTACAGTGCAGTGCTGACTTTATCTTTACTTAATACCATTTATCGCCACACTCACCCAAAGTATAAATGTTTACCATCAGCTATATAAAGACTGAATAGAGGTAATTGGTATTCAGTGATAAAGATATACTGTAGCCTGTCAGTAGTTAAATATAAGTAACTTTTAGGTCTCTTGACAAAAAAGAAAACAAAAATTACAGTAGAAGAACCTGTACAGTATTGTATTCCCCCACACAGGTACAGATGACACACATAAGATATTATTTTTCCCAAGACTATCAGTCCCTTTACTCCATAAAAAAAGGGAAGGGGAATTCAAATAATAAACAGTATGTTAGCTGTTAATTGCCTATTACCTATTACCTTTACCTTTTCTACCAATACTACCTTAATATTTATTAGTTTATGTTATGGTAAACAAAATTATATGCAAGTAAATACAAGAACACAGATTATGATCATGTGGAAAGCATATACTGTACGGTAGTTACTGTACTGTATGTATAATGGCCACTGACAGGTGCTCAGTGTTAACTGGATATCTGGATACAGTATTAATATTCAGTTTTTATTTTCTTTAAAATAAACCAACTAATCTATGGGTGCAATATATGTTCCAGTGATTAAAATAACATTGATAAAACTGATTAATGAATTATGAACCTATTCCAAAAGTATCCCTCAATGTATTAACAGTTTATTTTAAGTGTCCAAATATATACCTTGAATATCCAAAAGAATGATAATGATTACCTCCCCATAACTCACACCTCTTCCCACTCCTCATTCTTTCCTCTCTCTGGCCTCCTATCTCATCTCACACGTAATTCCTCATATCCTACATTCCCCATCTACCTGTTCAATACAAAGTTAAGATTTGATTTTGAATAAAACATTTTTTTATGAAATGGTGAATGTAAAATATCACTAACCTGCCTCACCTTCAGATGCTTAAAATAAAACCATCACCCTAACTAATACCGTACATTTATACCAATGCTTTTATATAAAAACTTGTCGAGTAAGTATACTGTTTTATTTACCTATAGGAAAACTGTTCATAGAAAATGTGTTTTGACAACTGCGGCATTCTGGAATGCAGTTATAAGCCCTTTCCAGTGCTTATTTTAAGGCACTATAGGATATTGTTCCAAGAATCCAGATGCATGACCAGCAACTAAAATGATTCATCTGCTTTCTCAGTCAACGAACATGCCAAAAGTTTCTTCTGGTTAAGAGGGACGGACCATCTAGATATCTGAACGACCTTCTTATAAGACCTAATAATTTATTTGCCTAATTTACCTTCTTCTCGCAATGACCCGAGAACTCCAGTTCATTGTCAACGTACACACCTAGGTCCTTCTCACATTGTCTCAAATAGCGCAGTTTCTTCATCCCGTTGGGGCATATGATACGCCTCCTTACCGTTGGTATGCCCCAGGTGCATCCTCTTACACTTCGTGACATTGAATCTCAGCAGCCATTTCTTAAACCATTCTTGGAGCTCATAGAGATCCTTCTGCAGCTCTTCACAGTCCGCTTGGTTCTTGATTTCCTGAAATAACTTGGCGTCATCCGCAAACAATTTAATGGAGGATTGTACAGCGTCAGGCAGATCATTTATGAAACAAAAAACAACAACAGCAGGCCCAATATACTGCACTGTGGGCTGATACCCCGCTTGTGACAGGTACAGATGATGATTTCGTGCCATTAACCATCACACACTGCTTGCGGTCAAAAAGAAAATCTTCTATCCACGCAAGGACTTTTCCCCGAATTCCGTACCCTTCCAGTTTGATTTTCAGCCTTGCATGGGGTACACTGTTGAAAGCCTTGGCAAAATCTAGGTATATATTGTCGATATTACCACCCCGTTCCAGAATATGAGTCCAGCTAAGACTGAGGAAGTAGCCGATAGAATGGAGGTGAGTGCTAAGAGGAGTTATGCTGACATATTAGCAGGGCCACGGGAGGGGGCGGGGAGTAATGCAGGATCAGAACAGGTTCTACAGCAGATTGAGACTCTGAAGAAGTGTGTCGAAGAAATGAAAATTAACGGACCTACTGTTAGGGGAGAGGAGGAACACCAGGAACGTTTCCAGCGCAGGAACAATGTAATAGTTTTTAGAGTCCCAGAGAGCCAGGCGGAGAGAACTGTGAGTAAGGTAACACACGATAAGATTCTGTTTCAAAATATTTGTACAGAGGCTCTGAAGATTCCATCAACCCCTCAGGATGTGAGGAGGCTGGGACAAAAGCAGGGGGATAAGCCTCGTCCCTTCAGGATCACACTAGCGAGCGGGGAAGAGAAATGGCAGGCAGGCAAAAAACTTAGCAAGGAGCGAGGCATTTCGGGAGTATTCATTCACCCAGATCGCACAGTAATACAGAGCAAACCGCATAAGAAGCTCCTGCAGGACTTGAAGCAGAAGAGGGAGGAGTCAAGGAAGAACGGGGATGGGTGTACATGGGTTATACTCAGGGGGAGGGTAGCGGAAGCAAGTGTGCCAACACAGGGCCGGGGCGCAGCAGTGCAACCTCCAACCGCTCTAACCCCCACCCGGGAGGCAGCACCAGCTCCGCCTACCTTCCAGGAGGAGGCGAGCGCCATGTAAACAATGACATTTCTAACCACACCCTGCAAAATACAGTGTACTTAGCAAATGCTGCAGCTTCTGAGAATGTGGGGGAGCGGGGTTACTACTAAAACCAGAGACGTTACCGAGAACAAATTCTGGCTTGAATGTCATGTACACTCATACTGACACGTTCCTTGATAAGAGAGAGGAGTTTGAAACACTACTAAAAGTACACCAACCAGATATCGTAGGAGTTGTAGAACTGTTGTACAAGAACAGGAGAATCAACCCAGAGGAATGAGTTCGGTATTGCTGGATATGACTCATTTACGAACCTTTCTCAAGAAACTTCATTTACAATTGCAGACTCTGTCTATGGATCTACTTTTTTTGAAGCAACTGGTTTCCATGGGCTTCATGTTATTATTGGAACTTCTTTTTTAGCTACGTATTTGTTTTTACCGCCTTTATAATTGTCACTTTTCTTCTGACCATCATTTTGGTTTTGAAGCAGCTGCCTGATGCTGACGCTTTGTAGATGTAGTGTGATTATTTTTATATACAGTATCTTTATCTATTGATGAGGAGGTTAATTAATTTTTTAATGTAATAAGTATATTTCCTAGAATTTATATAAAAATTAATTTTCATTATATTTACCGTAACCTCAACAACTTTAGTAATTAGATCTGTAGTTATGATTCTTGCTTCTATTTTATCAAAAAAGCTTATTACAGATCGAGAAAAAACTCTCCATTCGAGTGTGGATTTGATCCTAAAGGCTCAGCACGACTCCCTTTTTCTTTACGATTGCTTTTAATTGCAGTTATTTTCTTAATTTTTTATGTTGAAATCACTCTTTTACTTCCTCTTGATTCGATTATTCATTTAACAAACATATTTTCATGGGCTCTTACAGGAATTTTATTTTTATTGATTTTGCTTTTTGAGCTTTACTATGAATGGTACCAAGGTGCTTTAGGATGATCCTATTAGAGCTACCTGTATATGGTATTCAATTTATGATTTATGAGTTGCATTCATAAGGTGTTTTTTTATAAACTAGCTTTAAGATTAGAAAGTATTGTACTTAAATTCATTTTAAGCGGTTGAATTCCGTTTATATTTCTTTTTTATAGTGTAAATAACACGCTACATTTTCGTTGTAGAACTGAAGTACAGTATTAACTTCTAAAAATTTTGAATTACAAAAAAGTTAGATTTTGGTTAAACAAAATATATGATTAATTATTATATTCTTTTACTTACAGGCAAGTTTGCCACCGTTGCTGCTTCAAAGCAAAATTCTAATTTTAAATTATATAAGTAAATTATGATAAAAAATACAATTACCCAAAATAAAAACCGTTTTATATAAATTCTTACTCCACTACTCTGAGAAACTTGAAGGTACCGTGATTGATGTATAACGCTAAGAGAGTTGTGCAACGAGCTTGCAGAGCCCCTGAAGATCCTGTTTTGTAAATGCCTGGATGAACAAATGGTCCCCAGTGAATGGAAAGTGGCTTATGTGAGTCCTATCTTCAAAGGGCGATCGGCACTCCACGAACAACTATAGACCGGTGAGCCTGACCAGCATAATATGTAAAGTACTTGAGAGTATTATCAGAGATGCCGCAATGGAACATCTAATATGAAACAATCTTGTAAAGGATTGCCAACACGGTTTTATGCCGGGGCGCTCCTGCTTAACACAATTGCTCAAGGTATTGGATATTTGGACCCATATTCTGGAACAGGGTGGTAATATCGACAATATTTACCTAGATTTTGCCAAGGCTTTCGACAGTGTACCCCATGGAAGACTGAAAATCAAACTGGAAGGGTACGGAATTCGGGGAAATGTCCTAGCATGGACAGAAGACTTTCTACATGACCGAAAGCAGTGTGTGGTGATTAATGGCACGAAATCGTCATCCGTACCTGTCACAAGTGGGGTACCACAGGGCACTGTGTTGGGCCCGCTATTGTTTGTTTGTTTCATAAATGACATGCCTGATGTTGTACAGTCTTCCATACAAATGTTTGCCGATGACGCTAAGTTATTTCGGTAAATTAAGAACCAAGCAGACTGTGAAGAGCTGCAGAAGGACCTCTGTGGGCTCCAGGAATGGTCGAAGGAATGGCTGCTGAGATTCAATGTCATGAAGTGTAAAAGGATGCACCTGGGGCATACCAACAGTAAGGAGGTGTATCATATGTCCCAACGGGATGAAGAAACTGCACTAGTTGAGGCTGAATGTGAGAAGGACCTAGGTGTGTATGTTGACAATGAGCTGAAGTTCTCGGGCCATTGCGAGAAGAAGGTAAACCAGGCAAATAAATTATTGGGTCTTATAAGAAGGTCGTTCAGATATCTAGACGGTCCGTCCCTCGTAACGATCTTCAAGAGTGAAGTGCTTCCCCATCTGGAGTACTGTCACCCCATCTGGTCCCCGAGATATGCTAGGGACTGTCAGTTGGTTGAAAATGTTCAAAGGAGGGCCACTAGACTGGTGCCTGCGCTTCGGCACCTCAGCTACCCTGAGAAATTGGAGCGCCTGAACTTGCCTAGCTTATATTACAGACGGGCAAGGGGGGACCTAGTTGAGGTGTATAAGCATCTCAGGGGGCACTACTCAGTCGAGTGTCCTTACTTGGAGCTGGCGGACACTCGCCCCACAAGGGGTCACAGCTCAAGATTGAAGATGCCGCAAGTCCAGAAAACTGTGAGGGCAAGCTTTTCGGAGTGAGGGTTGTAAACTCTTGGAACAATCTACCAGAGAGTGTTGTGACGGCACCGAGTGCGAGCTCTTTCAAGACAAGACTTGACCAACACTGGAGCGGGTTCAGGTACATTCAGGAGCCAATGCATGCCCAGTATTTGCCAACAGTGCGTGACAGAGACGTGACCGATCGCCCGGGCGGCTAGCGAGCCGATCTTTTGGTGAAGAGGATAAATTTAAAGGAAAAGTAATCAGAGACGTAACCGATCGCCCAAGCGGCTAACGAGCCGATCAGTGGCGAAGAGGATAACAGTAAAAGTAAATATCCAATACCTTGAGCAATTGTGTTAAGCAAGAGCGCCCCGGCATAAAACCGTGTTGGCATTCCTTTACAAGGTTGTTTCGTACTAGATGTTCCATCGCGGCATCGCTGATAATGCTCTGACGTACTTCACATACTATGCTGGTCAGGATCACTGGTCTATTGTTGTTGTTCGTCGAGTGACGATCGCCCTTCTTGAGGATAGGACTCACATAAGCCATTTTCCAATCACTAGGGACCTTTTGTGGCTAACAACAAGAGTCTTGAGGCAAAATTGATCATTGTTCTGTACTGTATTATCTTTATCACCCTGATGAAACAGTGAACAGTAATAAAGTCACAGGAAAAAAGTCACAGAAAAAAGTCACAATTTTGGCTAGGAAAATAGACACA